CGTGCCCCGCCCCCCGCCGCGCGCCGCTCCCCACGCGCGGGAGCCCGGCTCCCGCTTAGCCCCGCCCTCTCCGCGTGACCATTGGTTAGCTCCCCCGTCACTCATACGTCCCCTTTCATTTCGTTGGTGAATGCGCGGGTGACGCTAGGCTGGAGGGCGCTCGTCGGTGGCCAAGGAGGTGCTGGAGCTGACTCCGCTGGGGAGGAAGAAGCTGAGCTCGCGGCGCGCTCCGGGGAAGAGCGGCCCTCTGACCTGGCACCGGGAGCTCGGGCAGCGCCCCGCAGACTCTCTCCCCCTCCGGGTCCGCACGCTCCGAGCCTGTTTCTGACTTGTCTCGCGCGCACCACGAGGGAGTGCGGGATCCCTGCAGAACAGAAGAGTTGTAGATGTGTCTCCACTTTCTGCCTATTGGAACAGAACTGGAAGTGAGTTCGTCATCCTAAGGCCTCTGCTGCGCCTCCTCGCCGGGACGGAGCTTTCGGCACGCGCCCAGTCACGGCCACTTGGTGCTGCACCTTCCTGCTGTTGGGAAGCCACCCCCTCATATCCCTTCTCAGTCAATGTTTTTGCTGCCACCTTCACAGCGCCAAACTAGAAACCTGCAGTGAGCACCGGCTCTGTCCTCCCGACTTTCCTTTCAGTGTCACAGAATCAGATCTGTGTCCTCTGGGCTGGAGTCCGTCGGATCACTCCCAAGCTTCCTCTGCTCCACGTGCCACCCTTCCTCTCCCCTGCTCTTGGTGGCTGTCCGCCCCTCTTGTGTCCAACTCCATTCAGTCCTTGGTGTCCGCTAGTGAAACCCTTTGTTAGTCACCAGTGCCACCTGCCCTTACTAGAGCCAAAGGACTTTTTGCTTTTTAAAGCTGCCTCGTCTCAAGATTCCGTCTTCCTCTTTAAAATATGCTTTTCCTGAGGCCTGTTGTCATTCCACACCCGTGTTTTTCCGCAGCCTCCCTGATTGCTTGTCCTGGATGACCTCTAAGTAAAAGGGGTCCCATCCTTTTTCTCTTACTCCACAGTTTTCGCTGCATGATTTAATCTGTTGCCACACTTCAGTCAATGTTATTTCAAATTTACACCTCTGGTCCTTGCTGTCTCCTTAGTTTCTCTTTAGTTCAAACCCATTTATCCAGTTTGCTATTCAGCTTCTCCCCATCTCAAGTGTTAAACCATCCAGACTCACTCAGCACAGGCTTTTACTGCTTTCTTCTGGTCTATGGCACTCAAGGTAGCCCCATCTTGCTAATGTTTTCCCCATTCTGCATCAATCTAACGTTGCCAAGGTTTCCTAATTCCTAGTATCTTTCCCTTTGTCCTCCTCCAATTGACATATACAAGTTGAGCAGATTATTCGCGCTAAAGATCTGGAATGTGAAAGACTCCAAAACTTTATAAATAATCAATTTTGAATTTGGGGGCATTTTGAATTTCAGCTTTTTTAGACTAAAGCTAACTTGGTTTGGGGAGTGTTTTTTTTTTTTTTTTTTGGTCTTTTTGAGACAGGGTCACCCTGTAGCCCCAGCTGGCTTGGATTCGCTATGGAGACCAGGCTGGCCTTGAACTCCGAGATCTGCCTGCCTCTGCGACCCGAGTGCTGGGATTAAAGGAGTGCGCCACCATGCCTGGCCCGGGAGTGGTTTTAATGTTTGGTATTGAAGATGACTTTGGGTTCTGAAATATGTACAAGTGAGGCTCATTACAGTTCATGTGATTAGAGCTCTTTGAAGTTGGGTGGGGAAGATCTGACATCCCTAGAAACTTGGTGAGAGCCCCCTGATCCAAGGAAGATGATAAGGTACTAAGGTTTTCCCCTTGCTTCTCGCCCTACCTAGTTCACTAAATTTTAACGAAAAAGGTTCAGAGGAGCAGGGTGTATTGGGCAGCAGCATCCACTCCTACAGCTCACCTATGAAAGGTTAAAGTGGAGCAGTGGAGGCAAGGAACCCTCCACACCTGTTCTCAAGAACTTACGATCCAGAAAGGGAGACAGAACATAACAACTTGTAGCTCATAAGGCCAAATGAAATTAAATGGTAAGAACAGCAAACAATATTGCTGGAGGAAAAAGGTCAGCTGGCAGAGGAGCCATGTTCTACAACTGCAACATCAAATTGGAACAGTCTCAGGAGTGCTGTAGTATTAGGAAAGCTAACTACTGTCATGTGCCATGCTCTCAGGGACTTAACCCAAGAAAGCCTTCCCTTTTGTTTTAGAGCGTGTAGTCTGTTCCACATAGTAATTCAGGGACCTGGGTTCTACACATGCTGTGGTTCCAGTCTTCATCTTCAATTTGTGGCTTTCTAGTTCCTTGACATTATTCAGGGAAGATGAGAATCCGGGCTCACATTCCAGCAAAAGAGTAGCATGAGCTTTTGAAAGGCTCTGGTCATATTTGGAGAAAGCCAAATCCAAACTTTATTCTATAGGTAGTAGGCAATCCCTGAAGTTTTCCATGGGGGAATGAATCATATTTACAAAGAGAACCTGCAGAATGAGATAAAATAAGGCTCCAGAGCTAGGTATCCTTTTCTTCATCAGTGAGCAGGACATTTGTTGGAAATCACAAAAATGAAACCTTTGTTAGAAAGACTTGGTACCAGAAACCAGAGAAGTGCTTCAAAACACGAGAGGCACCCCCCTTTTAGAAATCCACTACTGAGAAGGATTAATCCAGGCCTGCAAGAATTAACCCAATCCTTTTTATGACCTATCATTCAAAGTCCTCAACTCCAAAACACATTTCAACAAATCCTATGTGTACCACCCTTATTTCCTTCTGGTGTGCTCTTTTTCTTAAACTAATTCGAGTAGTTTCACTTCCTTTTAGACAAAGAAACTTTGATTAAAATAAATGTCATAGAAAAATCTTACCTGTACCAGGCAAGGAACCACATCCTCTGAATTTTACTTTTACTCTCCTCCTCTTGCTCTATTTCTAATGATAGCTGTCTGAACAGAGTCATAGGAGGTGAATAGCCTGAGTGGCCCATTGTCTTTGCCTTGGCTAGTGTCATTCATGATCTGGGTGAGCAGGCTAAATCCCAAAGCCCAGCAGATTATGTAGAAGGAATATATACAGATGAGATAGATGATTCTAAGAGCCTGAGATTAAAACGCAACGGAAAGGACCCCCAAAAATTAATCATTAGGTTGTCATGTGTGGTGGTTAATCTTCATGTCAGTTCGACTAGATTTGGAATCAACTAGGAAACATACGTCTAGGCTTGTCTTTGAGGGTGTTTCCAGAGAAGTTTAACCTAGATCTACTCTGAATATGGGAAGCACCATCCCACAGGTGGGGAGCTCAAACTAAATGAAAAGGGGAAATGGAGAATGCCCCAGGAGTATGGCATCCCCTTTCCCGCTTTTCGTTTGCTGTGAATTAAGCCAGCTACCACTATGCCTTCCCATCACTGTAGACTGTATCCTCTCAAACTGTGAGACAAACTGTTGTCCCTTAAGTTCCTTCTCAGGTGTTTGGTCACAGCAACAAGGAAAGTAATTAATGTACCAGGTGACCTAGAAATTCCATTTTTAGGTGTATATCTTCCAAAGAATTGAAAATAGGTTTTGAGACATGCACAAATGTTCATAGCAGCACTGCTCCAAATAGCCAGAAGGTGGGAAAAACTCAATGTCCGTTATCAGAGAGGAAGTAAACAAAAGTAGCATAGTAATAGCCCATACAATGGAAGTAGTGATTCATGCTTAGCGTGCATGAACCTCAAAAACATTATGCTAAGAGAAACAACCCAGTCACAAAAGGGCTTATCTTGTATGATCTTACTTATATGGGAAATCTGGAATAAGCACATACCTAGAGAAAAAAAGATTAGTGGTTACAGGAGTTGGATGAAGAGTAGAACAGGGAGCAACTGCTTAGATTTCATGGGAAAGAAAATACTCTGGAACTAAATAGAGGTGGTAGATGCACATGTTCTAGAGGTACTAATTACTGCTGAACTGTATACTTTAGAATGTTACATGCTGAGTTGTGTTATTGGAGTGGTACCTCAATTTTTAAAAAACAGTAGAAAAGAGGAAATGGAAGAATGGGGCTGTGGTGTTGGAATGAGAATGTCCCGCATAGGATCCAAGTATTTAGACACTTGGTCCCCAGTTTGTGGCACTGTTTGGGGAGGTCATGGAACCTTTAGGAGGTGTGGCTGTGCTGGAGGAAGAACATCAGTGCGGGAAGGCTTTGAGAGTTCTTAAGCCTTGCAGGGTTTCCAGTTGTGCTCTGCTTCCTGTTTGAAGCTGTGAATGCTTGGCTCTCTGCTCCAGCCTCCTCTGCTGCCATACCTTCCCTGCCTTTATGGACTCTAACCCTCTGTAACTGTAAGCTCAAATAAACTCTTCCTTTTATAAGTTCCCTTGGTCACTGTGGGGCCAAACTGATGGAGGTAATCCCCCAACTGAGATTCCCTCAGATAACTTTGGGCTGTGTCAAGTTAACAGCTGAAGCCAACCAGGAGGCCTAGAGTGCTGGATAGCTTTAGTTGTCTATCTGACTCACAGGGGTAGAGGGAACCTCAGTTAAAGAATTTTCTCCATTGGACTGACCTGTGGCCATGCCTGTGGGGCATTTTCTTGATTGTTGAATGGTGCCAGGGGGTCAGCCCACTGTGGGTGGTGCCACCCCTGGGCAGGTGGTCCTGAGTTGTATAAGAAAAGAGACTGAGCACAGGCGAGAAGAGCAAGCCAGTATGCAGCGCAGCATTCCTCCATGGTCTGTGCGTCAGTTCCCATCTCCAGGTTCCTGCCCCCTGCCCTGACTTCCCTCATAGAAGAACTGTGACTTGGAAGATATAAAATAAACCCTTTCCTCCCCAAGTTGGTTTGGTAGGTGTTTTATCACAGCAATACAAAGTAACTAGGACACCCAGGGAGTCAAAGAATGTGGGT